TCTGCCCATTCAGGTCCCTCTGCTTCTGAGAGTTTCCCAAAGTTAGATCCACACATAGAGCTCAGCTCCATGCACTGAGGCTGGCATACAGTGCACCTGTTGTGTACTTCCTTCCATAGCTGACACCTCGCAGGCAGGTGACATCCATAAAATTTCATCTGATTTATCTCTAGAAACAGCAGACAAACATGAAGAGAATTTAGATGAAATAGTATGAATTATTCGACGTCACTGTGATACTAACAAAAGTACCATAAAATCACCGCGCTGCTGTCCAAAATCTAATGGCAGTTCAGGGAATTCTCTCTTGGACCCTTTGGCAAAATGTGCTAAGGCAGCGAATGTAAAGAAAGACCTGAAAGGAGCATCCTGAATCTAAGCCCACACATTTAAATTACAGCTTTAGACAAGGTTTTCCATGATACCAGAAGTATGTCTTTCCTTCCTTCATTACACTTTCCATAATACCTGTAATTACATAAATAAAAGGCACAGATGCACTTGTAATTATCCACTAGAAAGAAGTTTAAAACAGTTAGGATGGCAGGAAACACATCCATCCATCTGGCAACCTGTAAGAGGACAGCAAGTTGTGCTCATCTTGATTCTGCTGGAACTCTGACTGCAGCCAGGTGGGATCAACAGTAGGAGAGCCCACATGGATCTAAAGACTTGGGAGGTGTGAATTCCTCTAGAAAAGGTTGCCTGGGCAGGGATTTAGCTCAGTGGCACAACACCTGCCTTGCAAGTACAAGGTCCTGATTTTGATCCCTGGTACCAAAAAAAAAAAGAAAAAAAAAAAGCTGCCTGGATGAGGAGAAAGCATATCTGGTGTCCAAGCGTGCTACAACTGGGAGACTGAGCAGTCACAGGGCACTGAGAGGGCAGAGAAGCCCTCTTTATGTTGCAGTCCATCCCTGGACAATGTGATGCTTTGCAGCCAGTGTCATCTTCCCGTTGTCTCCTCACCAATCCAAATCCTCCTCATTGTTTAAGGCCCAGATCCAGCCTCACCTTATCTAAGAAGTCTCCACTCCTCCCACACTCGTACTATGCACTTACATCTGGTTATAACTTGCTCTTTAACTGTTTCAAGCTTGCGTCACTTCTAGCTGTGAATTTCTTGTGAGCGTGGCCCAGCACAGAGCTGCATGCTCCACACAGGAGACACAGAGGAGAGAGATTAAGGGGAGAAAAGGACTTCATAAAGGCAGCATATTATTGTTCTCATTTCACATAATGCTCATGTGAGATCCCAGAAGTAGATCTTCTCCTATTTCTATCTCTAGAACAGATTGTTTTATACAGTGATAGCAAACCCAGTGGGAGTGTGGGTGACACACACAGTCACTCTGATTTCATGCAGTGAGGCTTTGAGGAAGCTCAGCTGCTGAATCAGAGGTGGCAGATGTGTACAGACTGCCGCCTATGCAGGGCTTATAGTTAACCAGGTCAGACTCATGCGCTTCTAAGCTTCCTCTTCTTTTTTGTTTTTTTTTTTTGTTTTTTTGAGACAGGGTCTCACTATGTGGTTGAGACTGACCTGGAGCTCACTATGTAGCCCAGGCTGATCTTGAACTCACAGCGATCCTCCTGGCTCAGCCTCCCGAGTGCTGGGATTACAGGCGTGCACCACCACGCCCGGCTAAGTCTCTTCTTGATACACCCTTGTCAAGACACCTGCTCCAAGTCACTTGTCCTACCATTTATTCATTCTGTTAGAAAGTCCTTGGTGAAGTAGGTGGCTGTTTTTATACTGAGATTTACCCCAAGATTTCACCTGGCATAGATGACCTCATTGTCACATGCTTCCCTTGTGTCTTCTCTATGGCTTGACATGGTCCTGATTTATATGCTTTCCATTTTACTAACCCACCATTGGACACAAAGTGGTACATTATACACAAAGGTGAACACCTTCTCTGCTTATCTCCAGGGCTTTGCAGTATATAGAACAGGTGTGGCTGTAGAAACTGGCATTCCAAACCTTCTTTTTTCCAGATATTTATACTCAAAGGGAGGCAACTTCTTGCTCATATCTGGAAGACTAATAAATATTTTGTTAAATGCTTAAGTGCTTGGTACTGTGCTGAGGACTTTATCTCATTCCTTACGACACTTGTGAAGTAAGAAAGATAATTTTACTTAAAAGATAAGGAAAACCAGGCTTTGAGAGATTTATTAACTTGCCCAAGATCACCCAGCCAAGAAGTGTGGCAGCCAACACCGGAACCCAGGCCTGACTACAAAAGCCAGGTTTCAACAGACTCAGAACACAGGCTATTTCAGCTCTTGCCCAGCCTACAACTCCAGAGTTTGGACTCCAAAATGTTAGAGAGGATGAGGAGCAGTTAGTGCTATGTCAGGTCTCAGGTCTGGGCTTGGCACAGGAGGAGAGGGCGGTCTTTCAGGACCCCCGACTCAACCCTCTTCCTCCTCTGATAAACCTATGTTTGAAGGACAACACGGACTTAAGCAGTAAAATGTTCATCAAGGACAGTGTAGCAGGGGCAGAAGAACGCTGGCTCTAGACCCAACTCAGTCTTCAGCATTCACCTGTTCTCTGGGACTCACTGTGGGAGCACATATTAGATGACAACACACCTTACCAAACCTGACACTGAGAAACAGTTATACCACAACATTCTTTCTGCCACAAACTGCCCTCTTACAACTTCCAACCCAAGTTATTTCAATAAAAAGTATGTTACTTACAAACCATTACATTGATTTCATGACCAACTAATGGGCGACAACACACAATTCTGAGAAACAGCAGACTTACAATAGTGGAAATAAAGAAACCTTTGGTAGGTGACACCTGTCTTGAGAGTTCCACAGACATCAAAGTGAAATGCTAAGAGTGGAGTAGCTGCCCACAGAACTCATTTGGAAGATCAGTAACTCAACAGCACCCCAAGGTCATTTTCTAACTTTTCAACTGTTGGATCTGAACCCTATCAGGGACTGAAATTTCAGTGGTTTGAACTCAGACCTGAGCCTCTCAACCTGGGCCCTGGACACTCTCCTCTCAATCAAAAGACAAAGATGCTGGATGCTACAGGCAGACTGAGAAAAGGCATGCAAGCCTTACCTAAGAAGCAGAAGCTAGCCATCTTCATAACAGGGGTTGTGGGTAGCTATTAGTGTGTTGATAGTGAAGTCAAAAAATGAGAAAGGGCCTCAGGACACACCCTGCCATTTTTTTCTAAGCAAGGGAAGATGTGGTTGAGAAGAAAAGATTAGTGGCCTTAGACTAGGCTCCTGGCTCCTGTGACCATCTGGCTGGATTTTGAAAAGCTGCCTAGGTATTGCAGATTAGTGACAGTTATTTGACTTCCCAGGTCAAATGCAAATTCCTAGTTCTAGCAACAATTTCCCTTCAGGCCTAACATTTGGGAATTGATTATGGATAATTAATTAACCACTGTATGTGAAATGGTCTCCCCACTGCAGCGGGGAGTGACAGGTGGAGAGGAGGCCCGTGCTACCTCCCTTCATCCCCACTTCTGGCTCTGTCCACCCTGACACACAAGGGACTTCTGAGGACAGACAGTCCTCATGGGCAGTATTACAGCTCTAGGCTACTGCACTTCTCAATTCAGTCCAAGCAAAAGCTGATTGGTTTATGTCACACTAGTTTACGGTAGGGGGTGAGCTAGTGGGATTGTCACTTGCTTGCCACCCTATTTTAGGAAAGCATCCGCAGGAAGTCCATAGTCCTGGCATGGCTTCCTCAGACTTGGAGTGCTTCGGGGGCTTATCCACAATGCACATCAGACCATGAGATTATTTTTTAACTCAATAAAGTTATATTTTCCACCTTAGGGATTCTATGCTAAAAGGTAAATGGATCCAACAATGAACGGTTAAGCAATATGTGATATAGATGTGCAAGGAAATATCTTAATTTTTTTTTTTTTTTTTTGGCACTGGGGATCAAACTCAGGACCTTGCGCTTGCCAGGCAGGCATAGCATCACTGAGTTACATCCTTGTCCCCTTGCAAGGGAATATTGTTCAGCCTTAAAAATAAGAAAATTCTGTCACATGCTATGAATATAAATGAACCTTGAAGACATTATACCAACTGAAACAAGCCAATCACAAAGAGCAAACATATTACATGATTCCATCTATATGAGGCACCTTAAGTTGCCACATTCAGAGACAAAGTAGAGGAGTGAGTTGAGGGAAAGAGAATGGGGAGGGCTAAGGTTGCTGTAATTTGCTCTTCAAGGATGTGTGTGTCGAAGTTTGGTCCCTGGGGTAGGAGTATTAGGAAGTGGTGAAACCTCAGAGATGGGGCATTACCGGAAGATCCTCAGTCCAGTTGGGACACCAGAAGTACCTCTCAGAAGGTACTACGGGACCCCAGGTGCTCTTTAGCTTTTTGGCTGATATTACCTATCCCTCCCATGTGATCTTGGACTTTCAGCCTCTGAAACTATGAACTACATCCCTTTTCTTTAAAAGTTAGCTTGGTCGAGGTATTTGTTTTTTCATAGTAGAAACAGGGAATGAAACAGGTGTTTCTATTACATGTTTTTCAAGATGAGAAGGGTTCTGGAAATGAATGGTAGTGATGGTTGTGTGACAATGTAAACATACTTCATGGCTACTGTTTAATGGTTAGGATGGTAAATATTATATAACCGGATTTTACAAAAAAATAAAACAAAAAAAGATAAAAGGGGTATGTGGGAGTTGAGTGTAGAAGGAATCCCTTTGCTGCTCTACCTAGTTCATCGCCCAGGCCAGTGACAATGTGGAATTTGAAAAGCCCCAAAAGATGTTACTGTTGATTCTTATATTTTTCAGGTCAAAGTGAAATTCTTATTTCCATCAGCATCTTGCTTGGGCCCTCAGGGTGTGGGAACTTCTTTGAGGATCTGTATCCGGTTAACAGTACATACGAGGACTCCCAGGAGCATTGCACTCCATGGCTCTACCGCAGCCCAGATGGGTGTGGGGTGTGGGGTGTGGCTGGCAGCACATTACCTGGACGGATAGCCGGCTGCACTGATGCGAATCGTCTCCAACACCCCGCAGGCTCTCAGTTGCTGCACGGCTCTCTTCGGGTCAAAGCTGCCAAACAATAAGATAAGTGATGAGTGGCCACGTTGACACATAAACAGAATAGGAGAGAAGGAAAGCACATCTTTCCCCACAGCATGTATGGATAGCTGTGTACAAAGTTGGGGTACAGCACAGACTGACTGGCAGGTGAACGGACCATTGTATCATCTTCAGTTCTATGCATGAGGCATTCATGTATACGTGTTTTGTTTGTTTATTTGTTTGTTACAGGAGATCGAACTCGGACCTTGAGCTTGCGAGGCAGGTGGCGGAACCACAGAGCTAAATCCCTGGCTACATTCTTAAATCCTACCTGGGTGATCCCTCTTCTTTGCCTCACTGAATACTGCCTACCCTCCAAGACTCATTCCTGCCTCCCCCCCAGAGTGTGCCCTGTTTACACCCACATGGACACGTGTCCTAAGTCAGTGGTCATAGCTTATGCTATGTCTACAGCACACTTAGCACCATAAGCAGTACTTGGGTTAGTGATTAAAAAGGTAAATTTCAGACCAGGCAGGCCTGGGTTTGACTGATGACATGGCCACGAGCAACAGCACATGTAATTTGGGGGCAAGATTAACCTCTCTGGCTCTCAGTATGTGATAGGATAAAGTATTCATTTTTTAGGGTTAGTATGAAGATGAAATGCAATAGCCCATGGAAGCAAGTAGCACATAGTTAGCTAGGATCATGACAGATACTTATTAAGAATCACGTAGATAAAGAATTTTGTCTTCCCATCTTTAGAGAGATAGGTCCATTTTAAATCACTCCCATGCCCTATGATGCCAAGGACAGAACCAAAAAGCCAGTATTCATTCATACACAAATACTGAATGTGATGCTGTAGAATAACTCAGACTTCATGTGGGCTTCCTAAGGGCAGCAGCACTTGGAGAGGAGAGGGCACAGTAGTGTACACTACAAGGCACACTGGAAGAAACCGGTTGAAACACCTAAGGGAACACATCAGGGTAGCTGGGTGATTGGGGAGTCTTGACTGAGAATTAAATTCCTACTTATAATTTGCTAAATCTGCCTTCCCATTCTGCTAAATGAGGAATAAAGCTCCCTTCCCTTCTGACTGCAGCTCAGCTGCAGCTGGAGGATATGCTTCTTTTGTTCCTCCTGCTTTATAAATGGAAAGGCAAGAATGAGGACCACCACAAGGTTCACAGCACAGATCATAGTGGCTGTTGTTGGGGTCGAGGATTCAGCTCAGTGGTTCTGCCACCTGCCTCATAGTGGCTGTTGTCAGAACCATGGCCAGGCCCCAGGAAGCCAGCTTGCCTTGGTGGATAAAAAGAAACGGGGGCTTCATCAGCTCTAGGACCTGCAACTGCCCAGGCAGCCTCTTGCTACACCATCTCTCTCTATATCAACCCAGGTATTCTCTTCCCAGTGCCCAGGCCCACCCAGATGCTGGAACCCGGCAGATGTATGTAATGTGGGGGTCAGCCACCCTCAGACTTACCTGTCTCCATGGGACTTCCTGTCTGTCCTCCCATCTCTGTGTGACTTGCTCAGTGTGTAACCCATGTCACACTCTAATGCTGAGTATCATGTGAGCCCAGGACACAAAAGTCCATCAAATTTAGCAGATGCTGGCCTGGGCTCGGCAGGTACTTCCCAAGTGAACAACAGCACAAGCTCCCACTCCACATCCCATGTGAGCTGTGGATCTTGGGTCCCAAGAAAGATCAATATTCTCTTCTAGGCCTATACTTACTTCCATTCCTCAGTCCTCCCCTCAGCCTGTTCAATCTTGTGTTCTCCCAACACCCAGATCCCCCATATATTGTCATTCTGCTGAGTCCCAAATGACGCCAGCCTCAAGGTCACCCACAATACTGAGTATAAAGTACAACTGGGTACCGAATTTTACAGTCCCAAACAACAGTTACTTTATATGACAATTTCATATATACATATACATATATATGTGTGTGTGTGTGTGTGTGTACAGAACACACCCTATTTCATAAAACTAACACTACTGCATATAAAAGATCAGATAAACAAAAACACAATTATAGTGGGGGGCCTCAATATGAAACTATCATAAGTACACTGATCAACCAGATTAAAAAATCAACAAATATCACAGTTAAACCACACCTTTGAACAAATGAACATACTGTATATCTACAGAATGTTCTACCCAATAGCAACTGATTACATACCCTTCTCAATAGCACATAGATAACCACACACTACTGTTTTTCAGTCTTCCACAGGATGTAGCACAGGCTCTGCGAGCAGAGGAGGGAATTGATCAGTATCACAAGGGGATCCTTAGGACATAAGGACTGCTGGTGACCACACACAGCATTTGGGATGCAGGATTTACTGTTCAGTCTCTGCTCCTCTCACCTCCAAGGCAGGCAGTTGTGGCCCAAGCTATGAGTGCAAAGCGGATGCACTTGAGCTTTGCAGAGTGTCCTATGGACTGTGGAGCTCCCTCTGAAGGACTCCACACTTCCCCGTAGCAGTCGTATGACCACTGGTGCCTTCTCTCCACCTGGCACATACACGGGGAATTCAGCTCTGTACATGGTAGGGATGGCAGCATGCTCAGAAGCATATGTGACACCTCTAGCACCATGGGAGGAATAGGTAAGGTCCTTACTCTCTCTATGACCTCCCACCACTTTTTTAGTGGACAGCATTGCTCCCTTTCTTAAAAGAACTATTCCTCTTTCCAGCCATCCCATCCCTGCCTGCTCTTGTATCCCCCGGCATCATGCTTTGCGGACACTGCTTTTGTGAACCAGCTTTTGCCTGGGTCCTGGCCTGATGGCCAGGCAATAGCTTACTGAAAAATCTCCATATACACACAACACAGCAAAAGTCTGTTGGGAATAGGGTGTGTGTCAGCACGTGCATGCTTGTGTGGACACTTTCCAGTCTTTTCTTGAAGCTGTACACACCGTGTCTTGAGCTGGTTCCCCAGAAAGCATCTGGCAAGTAAGCTCAGCTTTAACTTCTTCTCTGCTTCAGAAGGTAAGCCAAACCACTCTACTCCTCATAACTGCTCTTCCTTTCCAAGATGGCAACATCATCCCTCATGCTCTGGGCTGAAGGAGTGACCGTGGGTCAGCTTCAGCTCTGCCTCTAACTGTTGGCATCACTCTGCAGAAGATATGAACTCTCCATAACACATTTTCCTCATTCACTCAATGGGTGCTGAGGATATCTGCTTGTCTGTAACTCACAAGTCTGCTGTAATGATCAAGTGATACAAAATAAAGACTTTTCAGAGAAAAGCGAAAAAGACATGCTACAAAGAAGATACTGCCATTCTTTTCCTGTTCATACATCCTTGGGGAGTTGTAAAGACAGTCAGCCTTCTGTATTCTAATTTTATACCTTCAGTAGTACAGAAAACTCCCTGTCAAGCACATCTCCCCATCTGCCTGCCTGAGTTACTTTGATTTGGTGAGGAATGGAACACCAGGCCTTCTGCTATTAAATTCTGGAGGACCCTCATGAGGACAATTAACATCTAACTCAGGTCACAACAGATAGTCAAGCTGCAGGTTTACACTTTCCCTTCCCGGTACAAGGTGCGTGAAAACAACAGAGCCAGGAGCTTGTTGGACACAGAGTGAGAATCCATAATGATGTCAGAACTGGGCTCCACCTCTGCAATCAGATGTCACTCAATCAGTCCTGTGCTTCTTCAGGCTTGGCAGTATCTTACAGGCACAGTTCAGGACCCTAAGACCTGGGAACCTGTGAGCTGTTTTTCAAGGAACCTGGCCAGGTCCTCTTCCAAGTGATTCAAGATTATGACATTTGTCCCAGGCCACCTCTTCCCTGAGTGAGGAAAGCCCTTTTATTGCATGATAAGGAATAGGAAGGATACAGAAATTTCCTTGTAAAGTCAATAACAGTAAGTCTAATGATATCAATGCTTATACTTCTTATAAGTAATCCCATTATTTTCTTGGAGTTTTTTCATTAGGATATTATAAAATCACAATTAATGGATAAAGCAATGAGACAAATACAATGAAAGACAACTTTGCGATTAGCCAAACAATCAGTAGTGAGCTTGAATAAGAATTCAGGTTTTCTGATTTGGTTCATTATTATTATTCTTTTTCTTCCTATTCTCTGTATTTATTGAAAAAGTTTGGTCCTGGAGGCAAAGAAGGGTTTTAGAAAACACAGTATTAAGGTTAGAAAGTCCCTTTCTCACCATTTCTCAAATGGGAGGTAAACCCACAGAGTACTTGGCGCTTACAAGGTACCAGGCTTTGGTCAATGAACTTCCCAAGGCCACAGCTGGCTAAGGCAGATTAGGCACTGAGCACCGTCTTTCCTCTCCCAGGCGCTTCATGGTACTCTGTCCTTCCCAGATAATTGGAGTCTTTCACACACATTGCTCTCCATCAGCCTCTTCCTGCAGCCAGCCAGTAAGCAGATGCCACACTGGGGGCAGGGCTCTCAATATCTCAGAAATGCAGAGGAAGAAAGAAAGTGAGCAGTCAGCACACTTCAGAGAGGACTGACTCACTATTCATTGTCTCCTTCGCCGCCTTGAACCATGAGGCCCATGGGGAGGGCTCAAGCTTCATTAAATGACAGGAAATGCAGAAGGCAATTCAAATGTTCAGTGTGAGAGCCAGAGTTGCCAAAATGAATGATTTCATAGAAAGAAATTGTCATGGTTTCCCTTTTGGTCTTAGCATAAAGAAAGATGGGAATAAAGTGTTTTAAAAAAATAAAAGCATACTTTCCCAGGCCAGAAGGAATGGCACATGTGAACGCTCAGAGTCAGGAAAGAGGAGCTACTGAGGTGAGCAAGAAGTTGCTTTAATGGCCTGGGGTGTATTCAGGTAGGAACAAAGGAAGTCTGGCTATCACAGTCACACAGTCAGGTTGATTCCTTGATTCCACATGAGAGAGATCATGGAAAGGGAGGGGTGAATAAAGGACAGTGGGATTTGATCAGTGGTTGCTGGATGTAGGGGCTGAATTATTACACTGAACCCCATTAATATATATAATTAATACATGTTAATAAACAATGTAAAGAAAAAAATGAGGATCTGGAACAAGGAAATAGGAGAAGAAGAAAAAAGGAGACAATGAGTTAAATTTTCACATAGATTCCATGGGACTTATACAATGGCAAGACAAGGGGAGTAAAGGAAGTGGAATCAAGGGGTATGCCGTCCAATATGAGAGCCACTCACCACTTGTGGGGATGGGACATTTAAATGAAACATTCAGTTCTCCTCATCCACACTAGCCACGTTTCAGGCATCAACTGTCACACACAACTAGCTGCTACCTCGTTGAATGATGCTGGGTACAGAACAGTTCCATCATCACAGAAGGTCCTGCTGGACAGAGCTGGCCTAGAGTGACTCAGGTTTCCAGTTTGGGGTATCAGGTTCGGTAGGTGAATGAGATGTCAGGAATGGTTACGTCTTTCACTAAAGCAGAGAACGAAGAATGGACAATCGTTTTGGAAGAAAAAGACCAAGAGTTTGGTCTCAGTCATGTTGAATGTGAGGTGTCTGATGAAGCTGTAGCAGCATGCAGAAGTACTGGTCTGGAATTTGGCAGAAACCAAAGATGGACAAGACAATTACAAGTTACTCTTAACATAGATTTGAAGTTGGTCTAATGGGTGTGCACAGACTGAAAGGAACAATTTCAAGATAGAGGTAATGAATGGTGAGGAGAAGGTAAGAGTAGATAAACTGAAGTGCAGTGCCAGAGGCAATGCGAGAAGCAGGATGATTTTTGTTTCCAACCACTCCAAGTGCTATTTGAGGGCCGACTTCCTCAGTGCTGAAATGCCCTTTCTCAACACTCCTGCCATCCTAATATGTCTGAATTTAATATTTTATGGGAGAGACACAGCCTTCCACATTGAATAACATATTATATGATCCTCCTATTTGATTCAAGGTTGCACATTCAACACCACTGAAAGGCCCAGGTAACTGCAGAAAAATATCTTTTACCCTCTTGAATTAAGGAGAGTGGCAGGTACAATCCAGCTGTATCTGTCAGCCTGTGTCCACACATGAATCCATCTGGCCAGTCACCAGGCTAAAGCTGCAGAACCCCACAAGAGTGGGCCCATCTCCCTGGACCTCTGAGGAGGGATGAGCTTCTTGGGCTTGCTCATGAGCAGCAGGTACTTACTGAAAAGGCAGCTTGTCGTCATTGGGCTTGATGCAGCGGACGTAGTGTGGTGTTGTGGCATTTAGGGTTTCCATGAGGCGATTCAGCGAGTTGCGGAACTGGGAAGGCAAAAGCCAGCACTAAATTATTTTTAACAATTTGTTGAATGTAAGGGGGGGAAAAAAACTCATACTGGTAGTGATAGTAATAGTTGTTACTATTATTACTGCTAATCCAAAAGAACAGGGGAAAAAACTCAGACCTGGGACCAGATTCCAGCTGACACTGCTACCTTGCTGAGACCAAAAATCAAGTCCTTCCCGGAGTAGGGCCCCTTTTCAAACTAAATGATCAGAGACCACCTCTTAATGTGCTTAATTCCAGGGATGGGGAACAAGTGAGATGATAAGGCAAGTGAGTGCTGAGATAGAAGTCAAGCTGTCACCCTGACATCCAACACAGGAGCATCCTAGAATTAACCATGTCTATATGAAATGTCCAGAACTGGCAAATCCACAGGCATAAAAGTAAGTGGTGGTAGCCAGGGACTTCTCTCTGGAGATGCACTGGGGGAATGCCAACAGAGGCCTTAGAAGAAGGGAAAAGTTTAGCAGACTCTTGATCCTTAGGCTTATTCAACTCTCCTCTCTACCCTGCAGATATGACCCCCTGCCTACGTACATGCTAATCACTCTTGCTGTGCCTCAGGGATTAAGGCATTGATTTCTCTTAACCCTTTCTTCTGTTAGTCCTCTCTAGTGGAAGTTTTGGAGATTCCTCTTTAAAAGACAAAAAGCTTGACCTAGGTGGCCAGGGCTGTTGACACCAAGGCCACTGTGCCTGCCCTTACAGCTATATCTAGAGAAGCCAGCCCTGCCACACATGCCACAGCCCATAGCTTCTGGCAATGAGCCTGGGGCTGACCTGGAGGCCCACAGTTTTCTTGTGCTCTTTGTTGGAGGCCTTCAAGAGGGGTTTGGCAGAGCGAACGTTGATCTTTGAAGATGACCCCTTCCCAGCTGGGGTGGTGGCGGGAGTGGCATCCTTGTCGTCATGAAACAAGTCAGACACTAATGGAAACTAGAAAGAGTCACAGGAAAAAAAAATGAAAATGATATCTCTTGCATTTTATATTGTTTAAATTCTTCCAAAATTGCTTTCCTAAGATACACTAATGCGAAATAAAGGCATGTCCACAGAAAACCTTAAACACCATTTACAGCAGCAATTATTCATAAGAGCAACCTATTAGAACTACTCAAATGCCCATCACCTGTTGAGTGGATGCAACGTGTTATATATCCATACAATGGAACATTAGTCAATAACATAAAGGAAAGAATGCCTTATTCGTGCTTGTTATGGATGAAGCTTGAAAACATGCTCAGTGAATGAAACCAGGCACAAAAGAACACATAATATGTCATTCCATGTAGAGTATATGAAATATCCAGGAAACAGAAAGTGATTTAATGATTGACAGGGCAGGTGGGGGAGGGAAACAGAGTGACTGCTAATAGATACAGGGGTTCTTCTTAGAGTAATGAAAATATTCTCGAATTTATAGTAGTGATGGTTGCAGAGTTCGGAAAACATACTAAAAACCACTAGATTGTATACTTCAAAAAGTGAGTTTTGCTGGGTGTGGTGGCACATGACTATAATCTCAGCATTCTGGGAGATTGAGGCGGGAAGATCCCAAATTCAAGCTCAGCCTGGGCAACTCAGTGAGACCCTATTTCAAATATTTTATTTTAAAGCTAGGGATATAGCTCAGTGTGAAGGATCTGGGTTCAATCCCAAGAAACCCTCCTCTCCCTACACACAGAGGTGAGTTTTGTGGTATGTGAACAGTACCTCAATTTTTTAAAAGTTTGGAAAACAGTAGCTTTTCCTGACAATCTTATTTAACCTTCACCTATGAGGATGGTCGTAATGTCTCAATGAGAATCCACATGAGCACAGAGAAGTGTGCCAATGGTATAAGCAAATACTGTCTACTTTACTATTTTATTAGGTTATATATGAAAAACTTAGGTAACCTGTAAAAATGAAGATGCTTAAGGAAATTATATTTTTGATCTGAAAAGAAAACAGCACAGAATTTTAGATCTGGAACAACTTTAAAGTTCAACTCTCACCTGCTTGTGGCAGGTGAGGAAACAGAAGCGTGGGAAAAGGGGTCTACAAAAATTCTGCTTCAAGTTCCAAGGGCTAATAGGAACATCTCCAGGACTGCCAGTCAATGACTGAGCCCAGGATAGCACCCGGGACACCTAGGACAGAGCTTGTTTCAATATTCAAAGGTACCCTTGTCATTTACACTGGCAAAATCAAGGAGGTAGAAATACAAGAGTTTAGAATACAGCTTTTTGTCTTTGATGAGCCTGCAATCATGATCAATACATAAAAATGCATTCCAAGAAATAATCCTCCAGCTGATAACATGCCCCAAAATTCAGAGCAGGAGATTTAGGCAGAACTAAGCTAAGTACTCAAGGCGCAGCATCACCTTTATAAAAGGCATAAAGAGCAGCGACAGCCAGCTGCTTCTCTGATCATCTGCTTTGAATTCCCTAGAATCTTCCATAATTTGAGTCCCAGTTTAATTAGAATTCATTGGGTACCTGCAGAACATTATAATTAGGCTATCATACAATAGCTTAGAAAATAAAAGGATCATATAATGGATAGGTCCAAAACACAAAATAATCCAATGGCATCTACTCTCAGTATTTCAAATCTGTATTTCAAATGTATTCAAAGACTCTTAGAAGCCTACAAATATTAAGCAATACATACAGACCTTTCATATTATAATGTACAGTATGCCCTGGATCATCTCACTCCTCTCCCCTCCCATACTACATGACAATACAGTCAAGATGTTACATGGGCTAGGGATGTCTCAGTGTGAACATGTTAGTTCCACACAAAGGATCAAGGTGCTGCTGTTGGCACATTACAGCTATTCTCAGAACCTGGATGTCAGACCCCTGTGACTTAGCTCATTTAAAGGCAGGTTCTACAACCTCGTTAGGTAATCACGCCACAGGATAACATGAGTTTGGGGGATAAAACAGGTCATGGTCATCTCATTCCCTTAGGGCTTCTTCAACTTGACATTACCCAGGACAGGCATAGGACCACTTGCCAAACTTGAAACATGTCCATTTAAAAACTGGGAAGTGCAGATATTTGGCTCAGTGAATACTCCTCCATCTGATGACTCTGGCATTCTTTACATAATAGGTAACATATAAGTTCCATAAAATAAAGTTCATTTTCACCAAATGTTAAGCCTAGTGTTATGCAAGAACATTTCACAACCAGAGAGGATTAGCCTGAGTATGCCTACCTACACACACAAGGTTATGATGGCTAAGGCTCAAAAGCAGTACCTGCTGCTGGTTATAAGACTTGTTTCCCCCATCAAGTATTTAAAACTAAAATAGATACAAAAATATAGTTCTTCCAACAAGGCTCTTAGGTATTAGAAGTTTACATTTTTTAGTTCAATTTTAGAGTTAATTCTTCCTCTGTACTCTGTATTTCTCACTGAATCACTAACCACAAGATGTGCCTGATTTCCATTTTTAAGCACAGTGGTTTATGTGAACAAGGGTTGTGGCTCTTTAAGTTTTCTGGCCTGGGTTTTAAGTTCAATCTAAAAACACTAACTGATTGGGATTGGAGATCTATCTTAGTGGTAAGAGCATTTTCTTAGCATGTGATGGGTCCTTGGTGTAATCCCCAGCATCACAATAATAAAAAAATGCAAGCACCATTCAATAATTTTAAGGTGAAGGACCATCTGGTGAGAAGCCTGAGTCCACTCTCATTGCTAGTTATCTTGTGGCTGCAATAGGATGGAGATGCTACAACCAGCACTGGGGAATGCTACCATGTTCCTGGAAAAAAAAAAAAGCACAACCTGAATTCCTGCACCAGGCCTGGAATGGGTAATCCTGTCTCTTCTCTCTCAATGAACTGTTGACTGCCTAACAAGGTGGCTAAACACAATGTACCTTCTCCCTTGACCTATCTCAGTCCTACCTGAGCAGAAGTTCTCAGGCCACCTCTTCACACTACTGAAATGGATTCTGAGAGACCATTTGGGGGCAGTCCTTGCAAAGTCCAGTGGTGAGAAATGGTTTCATTCTTCATCTTATCTATCCTCTTCCAAGACTTTCAGTCCAACCCAATCCTTCTTCCCAGAGAACTTTCTTTACCTGTGGTGGCTCTGTCTCCTCCAGCTCTGTTCTCCTAACTTCTCCTCCAGAATTTTCTACTGGTCCATCTTCCTGCTTTCCCCTCCTCAGTGCTGTTTGCAAGATCTGTTTCTTTCTTTCCAACACTCATTCCCTGGACAGTTTCCAGGTGCTTCCACTATGCCTCTCGATCCTGTCTCTCCAGTCTGGCTATTTTTCCTTCCTTTGATTGTTTTCCTTCCTATGGATATTCCCACTGACGACTCCAAACTTGACATGGTGAAAAAGTGCTCTCACGTACTGCTTTCCGAAATTAGGGATCTTGCCTTCACCCACCTCCTGTCCCAATCAAGTATCAGGTTCTGTCTACAGTTAAGCATCCACAATCCTTCCTGCTGCAGCCCTGGTTCAGGATCACCAGAGTTCTCTTCTGGACCACTAGTTATACCTTCACATACAGAGATATCCCACTATCAGCCAGTTTTCTCTGAATTCAAACTTTATCCAGTAGCCCCTTGGCTAAACTCACTGGCCCACAACCTATACCAGAAAGTCACCACAGCATGTGTTAACATGGGGACAACAGGGAAAGAAGGGTCTGGAGATAAGAAAACAGCCAACCCAGGGACCTTTCAGGAACAGTATCAGAGTACCCAGGCACATGTAAGAAAGGGCAGACTGGTACTGAGAAACTTCCACAGGGAAATAATGGGAGCCGCAGGGAAAGTTCACATTTTAAAGATAGCCTTCTGACTCAGTCTGTCGTACTAAAGCACACTTCCAACTGATTAAATTATTTTAATCCATACACTTTCTGAAATGAGTTTCCAAGATGTCTGTGACATGAGTAGAAATGGCCAGTCTTCATAATGATACTGTATGAGATGTCATTAATAGTAACTTATTGTGTGAAAGACCTGTTAAATGCCAAGGTCAGAAACATGTATCAAAAAAATCACACAAGGAAATCTGAAATCAGATCACCAATAAGTATTTTACATTTGCAATCCCTTTCTCTTGCTTCTGTCAGAGAAGCATTCTATGCTTTTTAATACATTAATGAAGGCATCTGTAATGTAAGAATAGAAATGGAAAGCTGTTCAAAGCAGATGTTCACCTAAGATGGCACTGTGCCCTACTTTGTATATAAACGTGACCAAAGTGCAGTCTGAAGAATTTGTATTTTTGTTGTTTTCATCCGCGAGCCCACTCTTGGAACAAGGTTCAAGAACCTGGACTGGGAGGGCAAGGTGTGGAATCACCATACAGACTCCAGGGAGGTTTCTGGAACGCTTCCGTTTTATTGAGGAAATGTACAGACTTACAAGGGGTAAGGCCTGGGTGGAGCCAGGGTGGAGTCGGGATATTTGGCACATCGTTACTGACCACATAATTTTGGATTGTATGTTTTAGGGGTTGAGGCAAATGGAGTCAGGACTTGATGTTTTTGAGAGGAACCGTTTATCTGTCAAAGGTCAGATCTCTACACACCCGAGGGGGCGGATTATTCCAGCCCCAATAAGCCTCAGAGTTTTCTCACAAGAGATGGGTGCGGCACTCCTGACTCAGCCAGACATGAACCTGATCCTCATATTTTGTTTTAAAATCTATGTTTTAATTATGGATCTCTGGTATTAAGACTGCATTTCGAAGAGGTAAGATGAGTTCTTAGAAATATTAACTCTGGAAAAGAGGTACAGACTTCATACTCAATGTAGGATTTGTTTTTATAGGCTCAGTGACCATACAGAGCACTCTAGGCTGACCACAAGACTGAAAAACCAAGGCATCCTGTGCAACCTTGGGCTACAGCCAGCAGCCAAAGACCAAGGCAAAAACTATCAATTATTACCACTTCCCACCCATCAA